CAAAATGGACTGGCTTACGTGTACCAAAGGTATCGATTCTCACGCGTTCTCAACGCTCAATAGAACGGTATATGTATTGATTTCTGTATAACGATTTCTATTTAACGACAGATTTCTCCTCCGGTTAACTCGTTAGAATTAGCACTTTGTTATATATATGGCTTTACAGTAACACGCTTTGAAAACGTCAACGGAAATGAGAATGCAATTCAAAGTACCGTACATGTACATCAGGAAGTCGCAGTACACAGGGAGGCGGCACGGGTAACTGTAACGCTAAACAACGTGAGTTTCGCTTAGGGCCGATGAATGCGTGCTCGCATTTTGCATCCTTGGACTGGGTCATGTTTGGGGTCTGCAGGTAGAGGGCACAATCGCGAGTTGCATACACCACGGAGCACAGAACTTTCAAACCCGGTGTCGAAGGGCACATCGTTTCGGGTACAGTCACCACACTATGCCGCTGGACCTCCGGAAGCAGTTTTCAATTGGTCCGGTCGTACCATAGTCTTTCATACAGTTTGTGTATAACATTGCGGGGACATATGCCCTCCTCAGCAGTAAACATTCGTTGGTAGCCACAACGTTGGTCCGGTGTTAACCTGACCAACCGGACCGGTTCCGGCAGGCCTGATAATCTTGTGTCGTCTCCCTAGGTGTTATGCCTCCCTGATGTATATGTAGTCCCTCGCTTTATCCCCCTCCCCCCTCCCCTTGGGCAAGGGCACCCCAAAACACATGTGAGAAGAAAACTGGCATTCCTTAGTTTGAGGGAAAGGTGTGCGTGAAAACTGGCGGCCAGTATTTTGATTTTCTGTATTGTTGTGTCTCTCTATTACTACTTGCTCATGTTTGTGTCTAGCTTGCCACAGCCGCTCGCTACATGCTGGCATACACCGACACAGAATGGGAAGATGCTATGTACGAGTGTGGAGCAGGTATGTGCATGCTTGCTGAAATAGAGGTGTGCGTGCGAGCGCGTGCGCGCACGTGTGTGCGTGCACGCGTGGGTGTGTGTGGGGGTGTGTGCCGTCGTCCCAGGGATCTCAAGCGCCACGCTCCGTACTGCAAAGCTAGCAGATAGTCCCTTCCCTATCATTGCCATCGGCAATGGGCACGTTCAAGGTTCAAGGTGTGTGTGCGTGCGCATGTGTGTGTGTGTGTGCACGCGTGTGTTCGCGTGTGCGGATGCGCGCATGTGTGTCGGTGTGTGTGTGTATGTGTGTGTATGTGTGTGTGTGTGTGTGTGTGTGTGTGTGTGTGTGTGTGTGTGTGTGTGTGTGTGTGTGTGTGTGTGTGTGTAGTGTCACTTGTCTGTCCGTTTGAATACTAATTCCTTCCATTACCGTCTGCAAGAATCCAAAAGCATAAGACATCTCTGTATGGATACTTCTATAGCAAAGATATATTGCCATCAAACCCAGTACAGCAGACTGCATACCAATCACACTGAAAGGAAAACAAAACTACAGTCAACTTTGCTATAAATAACGACAGCGGATATAACGACAATTTGCGAATAACGACAGAATTTCCATGCCCAGAGCAAAGTCCCATCTAACTGTAATACATATGATGAGACTTCGGGTATAACGACACTTCGCGAATAACGACACTTTTCTGATGCCCCGTCGAGTGTTGTTGTACGCAAAGTTGACTGTATAAGCTGCTTAGCGACGGCGGAATACAGAAGTAGCTTGCAGTAGAGGCGATATGCATACAGTATGAGTGTAGGGGTAAAATGTGTAGTTCTTTTTTACTCTCTTTCTCACTCCTGTGTGCAGCCACACCATACGTGCCCCCACCCCTAACACACCTCAGTCACATGCACACCCACATACACACGCACACAGCAACAACAAACAGCCTCTGCGGGGACAGCAGCAACAGCAAGAAGAAAAACCGGATTCCACCACCTTGAACTGAAACGCTTTAACTGTTTCGTCCTCAGACTCGCAAAGCAATCTAGTGTATGGGGACCCCACAAACGCTCGATTTGTTAAAAAAACAGCCGGGTTTAGCCGCCAATCATCTGTGTCAACTATTTTCGAATAGTAGTCCGCCAGTTCATTTTGTTCTCTGGGAACCCATTCGGCAATCAGGCGGATTCCGTGCTTCATGCACACCTGGAGGATTCGCATGGCCTCCCTTTGCAAATGCTCCCTTCTGCTGCCCACCTGGATAATGTGCACAGCTGCCTGGTTATCGCTTCTGTGAATGCAGATACCTCCTTCTAGTTTGTGTGTTAATGATTCAAGCACCAACGCGATTGCTCTCAATTCTCTCCACGTGGAGCTTCTTTGGTCATTCAAAATCTCATTGGACCACTCTCCTCTGGCTACCTCGACTGCACTGCCGTCTACTAAAAATCCGCCCCAGCCAGAGTCGCTCGCATCGGACCAGGTCAGGACCGTTGCCTTTGGGCAGTTTTTCCAAAATGGTTGGCCGTGCCAGTCTTCAAAAACCGTGCTCCAAAATTCCAAGTCGCACCTTGCCGCATCCGGCCATTTCACTGGGGCGTACCAAGAACTCCTAGACAATATCATGCTGTAGAATGCCCTGGTACGCAGACGGCAAATTGGCCCGAGCGCAAGCGACATAGACAACAGGAAGCCGGCTAGCCTCGCCACTTCCCTCGCGGGTGGCACTGCTAGACCGCTCAGCCGTGCTAGGCACTCTTTAAGCCTCGCCACTCTGCGCTCTGTCGCAAAAATTCGACCCTCTTTGAGGTCAATGCGCATGCCTAGCATTTCGACCGTTTGTGATGGCTCCCACTGGGATTTTTGTTCATTGGGCACAAACCCAGCTCTCAAGAGGTCAGCCTTCATCTGTTTTACCACCACCCTTGCCCCTTCGACAGTAGAGTGCCCACCAGACCCGTCGTCCATGTAGAGCTGACATCTTATGCCCAACTCCCTCCAACGCCGCAGTAAAACACGTGTCACTTTTGTGAAAACATAAGGAGCCGTGGAGAGGCCAAATGGTAACACGCAAAATACATAGGTTGTGATAGTTCCCTCCGCATTAAACCACTTAAACCCCAAGTACTTTTGATGCTCCTGTGCAATTTCAATGTGGTGGTACCCACTTTTCAGGTCAAAAGTAATCACGTAGTCGCCCTTTTCGTAGACTCTTGCGACTGTTTTCAGGTCTTCCATTTTGAATTTAAATTTCACCAGATAAGTATTGACGTACCTCAAATCCAAAATGAGCCTTAGCTTTTTTCCATTATTTACCACGCCTAAAGGGCTGCAAATCACTGCCTCCTCACTCTTGACCTCCTTTATGCACCCTCTTTCCATCAAGTCTCTAATTGAATCTGTGACAAAATCGAATTGGCACTGAGCGCTACTGTGATTTTTTACAGTTTTCGGCTTTGGTAGCTGCACGAACGGGATAGATACCCCTCACAAATGATCCTTAGCACAAATTCGGATGCCCCCATAGTTTCCCAAAATGGCTTGCACCTAGCTAACTTAAACTGCCCACCACCACCCCTTGCCCCTCTAGTTCCCCTTGATCGTCAGATTCACACATGCCCGCCACGCACCCCTCGTCAACAACACTCAGCACCGAATACACTTCATCATCTATTACATCAGGGGGGAGTCCGTCCGCACAGCCCTCAGAGCTATTTCTGAGCGGCTGGCTTCTGGCAGAAATTGATGAAGTGGCCTGGCTCGCCGCAACGGAAGCAGACTTTGGGGCCAGGCTGGATGGGGTTTCTCCCCGGTTGCGTCCTTGGTGCCTCGCTGGGTCCAGAAGGTGACTGCTGTTGTGGTGGCTGCTCAGCCCCTCGTGCGGCTGCTTTAGGGGTGACCACCCCGCCCCTGCCGAACCTGGATGGGATGCCCCCCCCCCCCCCCCCGAAAGGGCCGCTGCATGGCCACGGACTGCACGGCCGCATTCAGTCTCTTGCTCTTTCCGGCGGAGGTCCCAATGCTGAGGATTCCCCCTCCCTCCACAAAATTTGTTCGCCACCTCTACCCCATGGGTATCGGCGACGGCGAGCCACTCTTGCCTGTCCTCTAGAATGTCCTCACCTTTCTTTAGGTTTTTCGTCACGCTTCTCAGCCGGTCGGACTTCAGTGCCCTCCGCACTTTCTCCAGGCGCTCCTGGAGCCGGGCGTTTACTGCGTGCTGGTGCTCATACGCCACGTTCCTCCATTTACTGGGGCCCGTTGACGTAGCACGAGAGCGATGGCGATGACGGCGAGCCTTCTTGCCGGAACTTTTTGATTTTTTGAATTTTTTGGACCTGGATCTCCGGCTCCTCGGGCTGGGTGACCGCGATGCACTGCTGGCACTCGACGATGATCTAGATGATGACGACGACGACGATGACGGAGAACGTCTCCGTCTGCGACCTCTGCCGCGTGGGGATTCCGGGGCCCTGGCCCTTTCGAGCTCGATTTGGGCCTCGAGCAGCCTGATACGAGTTGCCTGCTCCTCCAGGCCGCCACATGGACTTCGTTCGCGTTCTGCTGCGCGTCAGCCTGCAGTCGTGCGGGTTCTGCGCTTGCAGCACGACGGGTCCTTTTACGGGGAGGCATGTTCCTAAAAGGATCTTGAAAGTACGTTGAAAAACGGGATCAGAAATACACTACACTTGCAAAGCAAGAAGAAAAAGAATGCCGCAGCCTGAGCGCATGCTCCTAATATCTCGCATTTGCGAACAGCAAATGTTACGTCATGCAAAAGAAAGACAAAAAAGAACTACATTTCTCGTTTCTTTCCTACGTCAGCCAACGAGAAATGAGGCATGTCAACTCTGATACAAATACCGCGGTACTTTCAAAGCATATCAACAACAATAATTGTTTGTCACATTTACAACGAAACGACCGAAATAGTGGGTGCTGTGAATAACATTGCATGCCTGCAGAACCTTCAATACAGGATGTATGTGGTATGTGATCCAGCCTACCATGGTCTCTGTCTGGTGAGACCACAATCATGTAGGCGCCAGGGGCAGCTCCCTGCAGTATTCAGGGAACTTGCTTTGCTATGTCATGTTGTGTCAACATTTTGCTATTGGCCTGTTACAATGGTTGTGTAAGGCTCTGGTGTCGGGACATATTGTGAGGTTTGCCTGGCTTTGTGGCCATCGCACCACCGCACCGCAAATTATGTTCTTTGAATTCAGGTCTATCCCACCCTGCATGCGTAGTACCATAACCTTATGGTGTTCTTTTGCATCTGTGTACTTCATGTGTTCCTTTTTATGTCCTCCACTGCAGAGCCACCCTATGACCGGTCCAGCTGGCTGGAAAAGAAGTTCACCCTTGGCCTGGGCCCATTCGCAAACGTAAGCTTTGCACGTGTACTGATTTTCTGCCAGTCGATGAGAACGAGCAATTTTCTTCTCGTCACTCTCACTGCGTATGGAGTCTCTGTGACAGAGGTAGCTTACATCACACTGCAAACAAGTGCTGCAAGCTAGTGCCGTAAACATGACTTGTATGATTTTGTGCCAGTCGATGGGAGTGAGCAATTTTCTTCTCATCACTCTCACTGCGTATGGAGTCCCTAGCGGAGGTAGCTTGCTTCACACTGCTAGCGCATGCTGCTAGCGCGTGCAGAAAAATCATAACGATAGCACAGACGCAATCAGCCGGATGGTGCCGCGCGATACGATTTTCAATTTTCTCATTGCACGCTGACGTTTCAACTTCTTTTCTGTGCTGTGTTCAGCTGCCGTATTTCATCGACGGTGATGTGAAGATTGTGGAATCCAATGCTGTAAGTTGGTTAAGTGGGCAAGTGGTAATTTGACTACCGTTATCCCCCTTTAGTTCAGCTCCTTATAAACCAGCATCGTCAATAAACCAGCACAATTTTGAGTATCCATGAATCAGATTTGTTTAATGCAGCGTCGTTCCTAATCCAGCAGAATTTCCGTAGCACAAGTGGTGTGGGATGCAATGGGATCACTCAGCATTGTATTGTTTTGTGCTTTGGGCACGTGTCACCCTGGCACGAGGAAAAAATGGATGCAGTGAGCGGGATTTTCGGTCTTTGACCACTTGCTGGTGAGCTGATCTACTCACCTCCCAGCGCTTTAGGAGCTGCTTGTGTGTGTACATGTGTTTGTATGTTCATGGGCATTAGGCCATGTAAAATATATTGATTGTTTATCGTCAGATTTTCCCGAGAAATCGGGGCGGACGGGAGGTTTTTAATTTAATTTTTTATTATGCATTTATGGCTGTAGGGCAGGTGTTCGCAACCCCAGAGGATAATGGAAAGTGGAACAACCAACGTTACGTAGAAAAAACGAAGAAAATCAGGCAGCTTATGATCAGTTTCACTTTTCAAGCCCATAGCAACTAAGTTATGGTTCAGTCTGTGGACTTGACCTTCGAAAATCTACGGCCATGCTGATTAGAGGCTGTCGACCGCAGTACATACAGTACATTTTGGAAATACCAGTATTAAAAAATAAAATAATTCGGCGGGGAGGGTGAAAATTCGGGGCGGGCGCGGACGATAAACAATCAATTTTTTTACTTGGCCTTATGTTCTTTGTGTGCACTGCTGCTGTACTGATACAGATTCTGCGCTACATTGGCGATCAGCACAACCTCTGTAAGTACATGTACAGATCCACACCGATTTTGAGCACGTACTTGGAAGTAGCAGTGACAGCATGTGTGCTGTACTTTTAACTGATAGTGGCAATAACTTTAGTGCTGAAGCGAGTACTGTCACTAGCGAGTTCTGTCACTGTCGAGTACTGTCACTATCGAGTCGAGTATCGAGTACTCTATAAGCACACATGCGCTTAATGTCAGTACCACATAGGGCACATACCCAATTTTTGCACACCATTTACATTTCACAAATTAATTAGTACACGTCGCCTGGTCCTTGGCGGCATTGGGAGTGAAGTGCTTCCACACGTCGGAGCGCGGAGATCTCTGAAACGGAGAATCCGTAAATGCCTCAGCTTCACCTAAATTTACCGCCATCTCTCTAGATACTTCACTTTGATCTCGACTTCATCGGCATTCGCAAGTAAACAGAAAAGCGAGAGAAATATTCAAAATAGGTCCGCGCCTAGCTATATGCGCTTTTCAAGCGCACACGCGTATACGCTTCCTGTTCGACTTTGCTACAGCCTAGTACAGGCACATGTACCGGCACTACAGACAGTGCAGTAGACGAGTACAGTACTCAGTAGTTTACAAAAACTTGTAGGTGAGTAGACACTACGCGTTTGTGTACCGGATCCGCGGACGTGTAGACTCTACGTCGCTATCAAGTATTTTTTATATTTTTTATCGAGTATCGAGTCCTTTTTTGATATCGAGTCGAGTACTCAACGAGCGGGTACTCGAGTACTCGGCGTACTCGTTTCAGCACTAAATAACTTTCCCAGTACAGTAAAACCTGTGACTAAGGACCACCGCTTGGGGCCAAAGAAAGCGTGGCAGGTGATCCTTAGTTAGAGGTTTGCAGAGCACAACCATATATGAATGCGAGACCGTCCGTGCCTGG